CCAATAAATAAAAAATTAGCTGGGTGTGGTAATGCATGTCTATAGTTCTGGCTACTTGGAAGGCTGAGGCAGAAGGACCGCCCGAACCCAGCAGGTTGACGCTGGGGTGGCTGTGAGTGTGCCAGAGACTCCAACTCAAAAAAGAAAAAAACACTCTAAGTTTCTGGGATGGGGTGGGGTGTCATTAGAGGTCAAAAGGACAGGGAAAAGGCTCGGTAGCCCAGGTTGGTGAAGACATCCACGCGGCAGCTGTTGCCTGCAGCTGTCAGGACCTGGAGGCAAGAGGCGCATGACTGGTCTGCCCACACCCTAGCCTCCCAGGATCCTCCAGGATCCCCCTGCAGGACCCACCTTGCACTCGGGCGCTGTGGGCTGCTGGTTGAGGCTGAGGCTGAGCAGCCCAGGGGAGGAGCCAGGCACCTGGGCCTTCAGCTCCCCGCTGAGCTGCCACTGGTTGACACAGCAGCCCTGGCCAGCTGACAGGATCTGTGGAGAATGAGGGAGGATCAGAGGGCAAGGCTGCAGAGGGGATCCGGTGGGGGTGGCAGACACGAGAGGGCCTCACCAGGTCCTGGTAGAAGGTGACATGTTTCTGCGGTGCCCGCATGGGAAAGATGGTGGTGGGTGTGGAGGATCGGAGGTGCCAGAGGGTGAGGGCTGGGCCCCCTCCACAGACCTGGCAGAAAGCAGGATACCCAGCCACTGTCAGCCACCGGCTTGCAACTGACCATGCCCGGAGCTGCCACCCTGTGCCACACTCTGCCCAGCTCACCATCCAGTCTGAGTCAGTTGCCAAACATCCGATCCAGCGTCCATTGTGAGGCCTCGAGCACTCCTGGAAGGGGGGAGAGAGGAGGGAGAGAAGAAGCAGAGAGGTGAAGACTTGAGCAACTCAGTGGTGGGGGAAGTGGGGGAGAATGGGTGTAGATTACATTCTCACCTCGTGCTTATAGACCTCGATGGTCTGGACCTCCTTTGAATTGCGGAGGTCTGCAGGGAAAGAACCATGAGAGGCGCCCCATTTGCCCCAGCCTCTCACTGCCCTCCAGCCAGCTACCCCCTTACCCCAGAGTCGTACGGCCCCATCCTCGCCACCCGACAGCACCTCAGGGCTTCGTTCCCGCAGTGCCAGGCAATGGATGTAGTCCGTGTGACCCCGAAGGGCCCGCTGCAGGGAGTGGCAGTGTCAGGAGGAGACCCAGGAGAGTGCCTCCCCCTGGCCTGGACCTGCCCCCAGCTCCAGGGCACTGCTCACCGTGAAGGTCCCAGTTTCAAGATCCATAACGTGCAACTGGCAGTCACCCCCCGCCAGGAGGAGGGAATTCTCCTGCAGAAGAAAGCAGGGTAGGGGTGAAAGTCAATGTCAAATCAGGACAGGAAGAGGGTGAAGGATCAAAGTCTGGGCCAGTAATAGTCAAAGAGTTCAGACCTTGGGGATGAGTAGCAAAGCATTGATCTCCGGCACTTCCAAGCTGGTCCTGGGGGAGGAAAGGCAGGGTCAGTGCCATGAGGGATGTTTTCCCCACACATGCCCTCCACCCACGTGGCCTGGCTTACCTGTATGGGGGCTGATGACACCACAGTTCCTTACAGCCCTTCAGAGGGGGAAATGCCAGGTGACCTCAAAGACTCTCTCTGGGGCGAGGCACCCCAGCCCTTCCCAAGCTCCATGCCTTACCTTCTTGAGCATCTCCACCCACAGCCAGGCCTTCACCTCCCCGTCCCCAGCACTGAGCAGATGTCGATCGGTGGAGACCATGCTGTAGACAGGTCCATCGTGGGCTAAAGAAAAAATGAAGAACCTTCATAAACCCATCCTGCTCCCTACCCTACCTCTACCTCAAAGTACCCTAAACAGACTCAAGGACTGTGCCCACCTTGGAAGGTCACCACAGGCTTTTTACTTTCCTCTTTGGCCTCTGAACTCAAAGCAGCAGACAAGCTGAAGAGAGGGGAAAGCGGACCCAGGAGTCAGACGTGGGAGGCATTAGTCCCAGTTGCTTGGGGACAGGGACCCAGAGTGTACCTGAAGACAGCAATCTGCCCGTAATTGTTGCCAGCTGCCAGGAACTTCCCACAGGGTGAGACACTCTGGGAGAAGATGGTCATGTGCAGCCGCTGAAGGGCCTGAAACACCTCAGCCTGTGGGAGAGACTGGATGAGGCCTGCTGGGGACATCTGGAACCTCTGAGCCAGACCCCCTCCTTGCTCTGCTGCGCCAGCCTGGGTGCCCACAGCCCAGACTTCTCCGCCCTCTTTTGAAGAGGCTCACTAAGCAGGCACCTGCCCAAGCAATCCCATGGAAGGGGAGAGTCGAGGCACAATGCCTTGTGGAACTCTGAGCAAGCACCCAGACTCTCGTACCAGCTCCTCAAGTGTCAGATGGAGTTAATAGGAGATTCTGCCACAATCAGATGAGTGAGTGTATATAAAAACCTTTGCATAGGGTTGTCAGGTAGAAAGCACTTTAAAAGTGGCTCTAAGCTGGGCGGGAGATCACACCCCTAATCCCAGCACTTTAGGAAGCATAGGCAAGAGGATTGCCTGAGCCCTGCGGTTCGAGACCAGCCTGGGCAACTTGGCGAGATCGCGCCTCTACAATAAATAGAAAAATTAGCGGGGCCTGGTGGCGCACACCTGTGATTCCAGCTACTTGGAAGGCTGAGGTGGAAGGATCATCTGAGCCCAGCAGGTCAAGGCTGCGGTGGCAGTGATCGTGCCACTGCACTCCAGCATGGGCGACAGAGTGAGACTCCGACTCAAAAATAAAAAAAAAATAAGATAAATAAAAGCGGCTTTAATATCCCAACACAGAAAAACGTCCTGACTTCTCATCTCTACCTTCTGTGTTTTTAGTCCTCGCTCCCCTCCCCCGTCAGAGTCCAAGTCCCACAAACGACCCATGCAAAACAGAGCTCAAGGCACGATTCCTTGCCTGTCCCGACCGAGCTGTGCATGGACTACAAACCCCAGAAGGCACCGCGCACCACGTCCCCGTCTCACCTGACCCAGAGGCACCGCGAGCGGCACAGCGCGCTCCATCTCCAGAACTACAAGTCCCAGAGTGCTCCGCGGGCGACGCAGCTCACCAGGCCAGGAGCGGCTCCTCTCCACGGTGCTCCTCCACACGGCCGGCTGGCTCGGCGCAAAGGTGGTCGCCACGTAGCACCCGGAACTCCAGGAATCGAGGTGAGCGCCGCGAAGACACCCTCTCCGACACCAAGAAGTGGCGCCTACCGCAGCCCTCCTAAGCCAAATCCCTTCACCCACCCCGCCGAGCCGACCCGACCCGCCTTCCAGCCGCGCGCCTCCGGTCTTCTGCGCCTGCGTGTAACCTCGCCGCTGCGCGCGCGCCTAAAGCCACACCCTCTCGCGTTGGGCCCCGCCCTCGGAGACCCCGCCTCTGCCACTCAGATCCCACCCGCAAGACCCCGAACTCCAATGATCCTGCAGCAGCCCTTGGAGCGAGGTCCCCAGGGTCTGGCCCAGCGCCACCCTCAGGCCGCCCTGGGGTCATCGCGGGGCCTGGACGCCAGGTGGGTGTGCGCGACAGGGATGGGCCTGATCAAGGGGCGCAGGAGCTTCGGCTGGGGACTCGGGGCTAGTCTGCAGAATGACACGGGGTAGGGCGAATCAGCGAGGCTTACACAGGAGCTGGGATGGGGTTGGGGCTGGGGCTCAGGGTCGAGACCCGAGGTAGCCGCTGGATGGCCCGGGAGAGGGGTGATTTAGGTTCAGCTGAGGCAGAAATGGACCAGGGGTTCCTGGCCGAGGCTGCCGGCCCAGGCTGGCAGATCGGCCGGAAAGGGCCAAGGGGCGGGCGCACCGGGCTCTTTTTTTCCCAGCTCCCCTCTCCGAGGAGGCGTGCTCGTGAGTACCAAGCGGCGCCTGGAGGAGGAGCAGCGACTTTGGGGGCAGGGAGGGACTCCCAACTAGAGCCGTCACCTCTGGTTTCCATCGGTCGGCCTCACCTCGCAATATCCCAGCCTGCCTTTCTCCCCATGTCTCCCCAGGGATCCCCTGTGCAAGCATTTTCTGTCTGAGGAGAACATGGCCACCCACTTCTCTCAACTCAGCCTGCACAATGACCACCCCTACTGCAGCCCCCCCAGGGCTTTTCCCCCAGCCTTGCCCCCGCTCAGGTAGGCGCCTCCCCTGGCTGGACCATCTAGAGGATCACACCCAGGCCTCGGAGCTGACCTCCAGGCCCTGCCTCATCGTGCCATTTTTAGCTCTAGCTGACCTCTGTGTGGTTTCCCATCTTGGGTCCGTGGAAAGTGCTGGGAACCTGGGAACCCCTGGGAACCTGAACCTGAGGGGAGGTGGCTCCACTGGGCCACCTCCATGTGCTGACTGTTATTCCTCTTCCAGGGGCTCTTGCTCTGAGCTGCTTCTCTGGCGCTACCCTGGGAACCTCATCCCCGAGGCCCTCCGGCTGCTCAGGCTGGGGGACACCCCGACTCCCCTCTACCTTGCAACCCCAGCTGGGGACATAGTGGAGCTCTGAGTGCTGACGGGCCGTGCTCCTCCTACCCTCCTTTCCACCCAACAGAAGAGACCAGCAACCCCCACAAAGGGACAAGGTGCCTTTCCTTCTTCAGACCGTACTTCTTCACCCAACAGAGGACACTGAGCCCAGTGGAGCCCTGGGATGGGAGGGGCAGGAGCATGGGGGGAAAGATCCCCCCTCCCCCAGAAGAACTGAATAAAGATTGCTGAGCAACAGAAGGCTTCAGTCTGGAACCTGGGGCCTTTGGGGAGGGTGGGGTGAGGGGCATTGGATGCTGGGGTTTCTCCTCAAGATCTTCCCTGGAAAACTTAGGGCCAGCCAGGTCCTGGCAGGCTGGGTGCCAGGCATTGAGAATGTGTGAGTCAGAGCCTCACCCCCGCCCCCGGCCCGACTGACTCACTCCCTCCCTCCAGCTCTGGGGAGTTAAGCTGGGATCATGCTACTCTCCAAACCATTTAAAGTTAAAGATTCCTTTATTAATAAATTCTCCCTCCCCTCCAAAGTTTCTCCCCAAAATAAATATCTCCTTCCCCCTGTGGGGGGTGGGGGGTCTGTGTCTTAGGGCCAGCCCTCCTAGAGGGCCAGCCCCCTAGCGTTAAGAACAAGTCCCTAACCCCCAGGCTGAGACCCCATGGTGGAATTTCAGCACATCTGAGTGAATGGTGTCTGTGTGTGGTGGCTGCCCCTCAAGTCAGCCTGGCCCCGGGGGGTGGGGGGGGACACCCCCTTGTGCAAATGCTGCAGTTCCTTAATCAGTGTCAGCCAGCATAAGGCTCCTTTTCTGTGCTGGGGCCTGAGACAGGGCAATCAGGCACCTTGGAAGGCCACCCTGAACCCCGGGCCAGGCCTGAGGTGATTCACTGGCTCCCTGCCCCCCCCTGTGGCTGGAGGAACTTGGCTCCAGCTGTGTCTGGGAGGCAGGGGCTGGCTCTCGAAGGGATGAATGAATGATGAGTGGCTGAGGCCCAGCTGGCAGGGGGCACGCACTGTCACTGGATCAGCGCCACGGCTGGGCAGCCTTCGCCGGTCTCCTCTATGGGGGCTGCAAGATAAGAAGTGGTCCTCAGAAGCCTGGGAAATATCCAGGACTGATGGAGGTGGGCAGGCTGGGACGCACTTACTGGTGAACTTCTCTCTCCTGCGGCACCGTCTCCAGACCAGGAAGCCAGAAAGCAGCCCCAGCACCAGGGCCAGGCTCAGGGCGCCCCCCAGGATGGGCCAGAGCAACCGGAAAGGGACAGGGGGTGCTGTAGCGCCTGGAAGCCAGACTCAAGTCAGGCCTCGCCCTTCTCCGGACCCAGCCCCGCCCCCTTAACTGAGCCTCAAGCCTTTC